ATTGTTAGAAATGCAAATCTCTGCCAATTCCATTCAGACCTGTTGAATCAGAACCTGTGTTTTTGCAAGATCCCCAGATGACTTATGCAGCCACTGTTATTAATAATGCAACGAGAACATATTACATGGCTGGACACTTTCTGGACGCCAAAGACACCATGGGGGCCAATTTCAGGTGGTACATGAACTGACTTCCACCCACAGAATCCTATCACTATCATTTTCAGTAATTACAGCCCCTAATATCTCTACCCTCTTGCAAGAGAGAGGAGGGGCGACACTCTGTACATGACCACTCTGCTAGCACAAGCGCCCTGGTGGCATACCATAACCATAGGCTTTAGCAATGTGACATGCTCTTTTTCAAAGAACCATAACCTTTGTTTCATATGGTAAAAACAAATATATATCACCCTAATTTTTTATACTAAGCTTTAAATACCTTCTCCTAGTATGTTTACAATTTCGCTGTGGCTGTTGGTGAATGAGATGTAATTAATTACTAATATTTACCTCAGTAGAAGCTTTTGTAAGAACAAAGTCTGTCTGCAACTACAAGTGACTAATGGACAATGAGATGTCTAATGCTGCCATATTTAAGTTATATATTTTGTGGAGTTATTTTTTTAAGATAGGACTATGGACTAAATGATTATTTTTAATTTTTGTAAAGATGGGGGTCTTGCTGTGTTGCCTAGGCTGGTCTTGAACTCCTGGCTTCAAGTGATCTTCCTGTCTCTTTCTCCCAAAGTGCTAGGATTACAGACGTGAGCCGCTGTGCCCAGACCATTTATTTCTGGAGTCAACATTTATTGAGTGCCTACTAGGAAACAGGCAGAGTGAGAACAGGGATATGGGGAGGCAGGGCCGGCACACTTACTTCTTGCACAGTCCAGGGGGCATCAGAACAGGGCTCGTCTGGGTTTTCTTGCCAATCACTGGAGTCTGGGAACAGCAAGCGTTGCCTTCCTCCTTCAGCTCTCCTCACACTCCATGCCTGCCTCAGGGCCTGCCGCCTCTGTGGCCGTGTTGTTTTCAGAATCTACAAAAGCAGACAAAGGAAGGGTCAAACCTCAGGAGAAACCAGAGAGCATCGGGAAGGAAAAACTGGCATCCTCCCCGTGAGTGTGTGTAGCCCGGCTAGCCCTGTCCTCCCGCCGAGGTCCTTCCTGGGCCTGCTGACCTTAGCGGGGTACGGTTTCTTCTTTGGGTGGGCAGGAGGTGGCCAGGTACCCCAGCCCCAGAACAATGAGGGAGCAAATCAGACAGAAATACTGGGGAGGGCCAATGTCCAGCCACTCCCCCCCGATGTCCACATCAGCAGATGCGCCTGGACCCTGCACCGGGACGTCAGGGGAACCTCAAACTCCACGGCTCTAGAACGGTGCCTGTCATGCTCTCCTCCTCTACCAAAACAACTCCCTCCCCTTTTGTCCCGGGCGTGAACCTCTCCCAGCGGCAATCCAGGGCTCTCCCGACACTTGTCTAGCCATCGAAGAGACAAATATCAGTAGGCCCTTTTTAAACGAATGGTTCACAGTTAATCTAGATCAGATCGACTGGACTAGAATTCTGATTCCACCAGTGGATAATTTTGTGACATTGAGTGAGTTCTCTAAACCTCAATTTCCCTTCTATAAATGAGGATAGGATTAGTACGTACTTCACAGTGTTGTGAGCATTACGTCAAAAGAATTTAACATGTTGTCTGGCATATGGCAAGTGCTAAATAATTTTTAAGCTACAGGTATTTTTTACCATTCTGTGTTCTGCAAATAAAAGGATTTTAAAAATGTAGAAATCAGAAAATAGTTTAACATTGGAAATTGTGTCTAAGTAGTCAACGGATAGTTAAAGGCTCATGAATTGGTGCAGCCAGTGCCTGCTGAGTGCTTACCATGTGCTAGGCAGGTGCTAGTTTGCTGATAAAGCAATGAACAGATTCCAGTTCCTGTTCTCATGGAGCTCCCCATCTCCTAGGTGAAATTTGATATCTGCCCGAGCGATGTTCTGTAAATACCACCTGAAAGACTGTAACAATTTTGAATACGAAAAGTGAAACATGACTTCCTTAGTCTTGAGAAAGGGCTGTTTTTAGATAAAATACTGTAAAACATCCATTCTAATTCTACTCAATTGGTAAGGCACCGATGTAAATCTACAATGTTAATCTTCTTCCGCTGTTGTCTGCTTCGATGTCCATCTCATCACCAGAGTCCTCCTGGCAGTGCATCCCTGACCCTTGGAGTCAAAGTCCTTTCCTGTTACCACACACGCTTCTTCACATATCAGTTTAGAGTCAAGCTGCTTGCTTCAGCAGGTGTAAATCCCTTTCTTTCTAAAGCTGAATGCCCATCGTTTGGTCCTAATCATTTGTTTTGTTTCACTCTCATGACTTCTCTGATCTTTATCCAGATATTCTCCCTACAGGCCTGTTGCATAGTGGTTATGACTGTAGGGTCGGAAATCAGATTGCCTTAGTTCAATCCTGGACGGGGTACTTGTTAGCTGTGAGGTACTGGGCAAGTTACTCAATCTCTCTGTGCCTCAGTTTCCTTATATATAAAGTAGGCTATTGATTGTCTTCTGTCTCAAAGGGCTGTTTTGAGGTTTAGTTGAGATAATACATGTAAAACGCTTAGAGTGTTCACTGGCCCATAGTAAGTAAGCTCTCTTTGAGAGAGAAAGACAAGTGGTGTCTTGGTTCTGAGTCTTAGCTGAACTAAAGAGACAGTCTCAACAAGAACAACCTTTATTCTTGTCTTCCTGTTCTGTGTTCCTCTAAAACCTTAATGCTTTCTTGCAACTCTGCACATAAGTTCACCATCTGGGGCAACAAGCCAGTCACACGTGATCTCTGGCTCTCCAGGCCTTACAGAGCACAGAATCTGTTAAGTAAAGAAACTATCCATCACTTAACAGATTGTGCCGTAGAATACCTTCCCCTTATTCTTTGATAACACGGATTTTCTTAATTATTATTTTATCTTTATAGATTTTGGGGTACAAGTGCAGTTTTGTTATGTGGATATATTGCGTAGTGGCGAAGTCTGGGCTTTTGGTGTACCCATCACCCGAATAGTGTACATTGTACTCAACAGGTAATTTTTCATCCCTCACTCCCCACCCTCCCACATTTTAGGGTCTCCAATGACAGCTATTCCACTCTATATGTCCACACGTACCCACTGTTTAGCTCCCACTTATAAGCGAAAACATGCAGTATTTGACTCTGCTTCTGAAGATAACATGGATAGTGATATGCTACACTGACATGGTAAATACAGAGGCCCCGGGGCCAGACCGTCCGGGTAACAGTCCGACATTTACTGCTTGCGTGGATGTGTGCATATATAAGAATGATAATAGGACCTTCTTCATGGATTTGTTATGATGACTAAATGAGATGGTCCATGAAAAGTGCATGACCATGTAGCATATGCCATTAAGTAAGTGATTAATCAAAATGTTAACTATTATTGTAAAAACTCATTTCGTTTTTATGTTTAGTAAACTCTGCCTAAGTATCTTCACCCACAGGCAGTAATTAAGAGTTGCATCAAGTACAACCCCCAGGTGAAGGGTAAACACTCATTCTTTTGAACAAATATTACATGCACTCTTATAGTGAGCTTGAGAAAGTCTCTGGAAGCAAGTGGCCATCCCAATCCAAGGGCAGGTTAGAAAATGAAACTTATAGATAACACCTTGGGAAGCTATTCAAAATGTATGGGGAAGGACTCATCTCTAACCATGGAATTTGTAATGTTAAAGTACCTTAAAATGGAGACCAAGCCGGAAGAATCTCTGAGCAGACAAAGCTAGTTTAGGCCTCATCAGTGATCTTACCCTTGCTTGATTTGTAAACACAAGTGAAACTTAACTTGGGCTATCTCTTGCAAATGCCTATATTAAACAAAAATGAAACTTAGGCTCAACCAGTCAGAAGCTGCCAACTAACTTAGAGTTACATAACTAGGAACTTTCCAACAGATAGATCGAATAAGGCAACTATACTACTGTAACCAATCAAATACTTTCTTTACTTCCACATTCATCCTATAAAAGGCTTCCCTTGTGTTCCCTTGGTGGACCCCTGAACACTTCCCATTAGGTGCTGCCTGATTCATGAATTGCTTTTTGCTCAAAAAAAGTCTTTAAAAATTTCACTGTGCCTCAGTTTACCTTTTAACAGTAGAATAGATTGAATCAGCAAAAATTACTCCACCGCTGTGGCTGAATATAGCTAGCTAGGTACTTACACTGTCTGGTAAAATTTCCTATTTCAGTGGTAAGATATTCTAATGAGGGAAATGGTATAAACTGGACTAACCAAGGTGGACATGCTGAAAAAAGGCATTGGAGAGCCACGTGTAGAGATAAACGTACGTGTGTATAAGTCACAGCTCAGCACTCAATGTTTTCTGAAGAATCCATAAACAGCCCAGAGAGTTTTCTCTGATATGCATTTTCAGCCTATTCAAGGGGCAATGCCTAGATTTGTCTCCTTGCCAGCCATCAGCTAATGAGTTTACCTCCAAATTTGTAAACAATGCTCACTATTCCCACACTGTCTGTAGGGTTTCTTTTGCTTTTCTCTTCTCTCTTTTCTCCTATATATCTTGTTTTAATTTTTTTTCTTCACTCAGCCTACTGTTAAACTTTCATATATGGACCAATAATTTTTATACTGAATTTCCCAACAACATGCAACAAAACTTACTAAATACCTCTAAGTTATGTTTTAACAGGGTGTAAGTACAATTGTGGGAGAATGGACCAGTGTGCTTTGGGTTTAGGGGATCTCTTCCTTTGGATGAAACTTTTTTGGTTCTTTCAAATCTTTTATGTTATGATATATACAGTTAGTGAGTTTATATAGTTAAGTTAGGAAGTAGATGAACGATATCCAACCTTTGGGACTCAGAAAATGAATTTAAAAATTTTAAACTTCACAGATATTTAATTCAATGAGAAATAAAAGAAAAAAATCATGTCTGATAAATAACATCTCATAGAAAGTCAATGCATGCAACACATCTAAAGTTTGTCCTGCAGAAAAGAGAGAAGGCTTACTCTTATATCATTAAGGCACAGTTCAAAAGAGAGTAGTGAAATTTTCTGCATTTAAGCAGTAATTGGACATCAAGAATCCAGGAGACTACTGAGGCTGGAAAGTCACACGCCATTCCAATTGGGAATGACTTTCTTTGCACAGTGCTCTCCTCAAGGCACCCTTGACCTCTGCATTCCTCAGGCTGTAGATCAGGGGGTTCAGCAAGGGGTTGAAAAAGCTATAAAACAGGAAAAGGACCTTCTGCTACTCCTCAGGATGGCGGGACTTGGGGGCCATGTACATGACGATGGCACTGCCAAAGAAGAGCCCGACCACACAGAGGTGGGAGGAGCAGGTGGAGAAGGCTTTTCTGCGGCCCTCCCCTGACTGGATCCTCAGGATGGCCAGCAGGATGCACGAGTAGGAGACCAGCACCAGGCAGAGGGGCCCCACCAGGATGAACACGCAGGCTGCAAAGATGACAACTTGGTTGAGCTGGGTGTCAGCACAGGCCAGCTTGAGGACAGACAGGATTTCACAGAAGAAGTGGTTGATTTCATGAGGCCCACAGAAGGGCAGCCTCAGGATGAGAACTAAATGGACCAGGGCCAAGAGGAAGCTAAACACCCAGGAAGTTATGGCCAGGACAATGCAGACTCTCCAGCTCACAATGACAGAATATCGGAGGGGGTGGCAGATGGCCACATACCGGTCATAGGACATCACCACCAGGAGAAGACATTCTGTATGTGCAAAACTCAAAAAGAGAAAGGTTTGCGTCAAGCAGCCAGTGAAGGAGATGGGCTTGGCCGGATTCAGGAGGTTCACCAGCATCTGGGGCACTGTGTTGCAGGCATAGGCGATGTCGACAATGGCCAGGTGTGAGAGGAAGAAGTACATGGGGGTGTGCAGTCTGGAGTCCAGGGAGATGAGCCCCAGGATGACACCATTCCCCAGCAGGGTGAAGGTGTAGAATAGAGAGAAAAGTCCAAGAAGGACCATGTGAATCCTTGGTCCAAGACAAAATCCCAGTAGGATGAACTCTGTGACCATTGTCTGATTTTCCTCCATTTCACTATTAAAGAGAGAACCAAATAGCTATGTGATACAATTATTTTAAAACATCTATTTTATTCCTTGTTTCATAAATTTTCAGTGTGTGGAAAATTATTAGTAAACACCTTTAAGAACTCATTCAGTTATAAATAACTAAAGTTTTACTCATTAAAAATTTAAAATAAGTGCTTGACATAGACTAAACTTTTAATGCTATCCAATTTTTAGAAGGGAAATATGTCACCAGTGATTGGCTATGTAGAGACATTGACATTCTGAAGGAATTAAGAAATATCGAACCAGAATATAATTAAAATATTGATGAAACCTAGATCGTCACAGAGCTTCATAAATATAAATCTATAGGAGAATTAATGGATAATAATCATACTCAGTAATGGAAGAGCTTTAAAAATGAGAATAGACCTAGGAAAGAAAAGAATTTTACTTCCTTCAACAGAAATCATGACTAAGTTACTATCAATATCTAAATCCTAACTAGAGGCTAGAGAGTGCCTTGTATGACAGCACGAGAGCAAATTGTGAAACAGTAACTTTATGACAATGTTTTGAGTTAGGGAGAAGGAAGGAGAAAGTGGATATGATAGCTGTAGATAATGCTATATGTGATATATATCTATATTTATACACACGTACACTCATACATTATGTGTGTGTGTGTGTATCCAAAATGTGCATTATTGTCTTGGAAAATGGAAACAAACCAACATGGCTACTGGTCAGCTGGATGATTCACAGAATTATTAATTTACCACTGGAATTTTTCTAATACAACATACACTTTAGGGCAATTTGTGTTTCATCAAGAAGCCCAATATTACAAGCCTGGCCTGTATGTGCACCTGTATAAATGTGTATGTTGCCATATTCTCTCAAGGATTTGGAGGGTGAGTACAGTAGGTGCCTATGTGCGTGTATATGAAAACAATCGCAGTCATAATTTCCTGCACTATCTGTACAGATCTCACTTTCTACGTTTTCTCAAGATAGAAAATCAACCAATCAAGAGAATAAAAAAGGTCATAGCTTGAAATGAAAATGAGGAGAAAATAATCCCATCTTGCAGTTAATTCAATTCTTCATATTTGTAATACTCACATGTTAATTCAATTCTTCATATTTGTAATACATGAAATAAAAAACACAAGAAATTGCTATTTAAACTGAAAAAAGGGTGGGTGACCTCAGCAACGAGAATTGCCATATACTTTACAAGTAACTCATATAAACAAATTATTGACAAGTTGATAATTCAGTTTGTCACTGGACAGATGGTAAAATCAGCAAATTAGTGGTAAGAGGCTAATTGATGGTATGCTAAATTGAAGAATTTGGCTTTTTGACCTTGGATCTTAGATCACAATTTCCTCAATAAACCAGGTTGACGTTCAACCTGGTTTCTAGTGCGAACGTTTGTCGCTGCCATTGCAAGGGCAAAATAAGTTAGGTTTAGCTACTTTGGGGGGTTTATGTGAGGAAAGGTGCTGTTTTTGGCCAGTCCCTAATTTAACTGTTGTTAATACCAATGGAGATGTCAAGGAATATTCTCCGAGGAACTTGGACTTAAGAGACAGAATTGCATTCTGAGATATAAACTTTTGAAACACACATGTAACTGATGAGAATAACAATCTAGTGGTGGAAAACAAGAAAATATCAGGAAAATGTGACTGGAGAGTTTGAGGAGCTTCCAAACTTCCATGCCATGTGCTTTGACGCAGTCTCTGGGAAGCAGGGTAGGAGGATGTGATTGATTCATGAACCCAGATGAAATCAGTTGTATTGGGCACCTGTCTGGAGAATGACTATAGGAAAAAGAAGGGAGGTGATCAGTATGTAGTGTAGACTTAGCTCAGAGGAGCTGCGTTTGGTAATACATCCTTAATGACCTTCAGGGGAAGGGAAAAGTGAAACTGTTGGCAGCAGGATCCTACTCGCCTGGTGGTTCTGTGTTTACAGACCAGATGGATACTCTGGGTGATCAGTCATCAATAGCCCTAGCTAGTAATATCTCTGACCATCCCTTCTTGCTTTGACTTCTTAATCATCAATCAACCGTTAGGTAATAATTTATCGTTTTAAGCAGATATTTCTACAAAGAAGGAATGTGTTGATATGCAAAGTTCTTTGCTCATTTTACAGTTACATTTTGAAGTTTAAATAAATGAACATCTAGGTATTCTGTTTATGCATTTTCCTGTTGTGCTTTTGGATAGCATGATGCAATTCTTTGCAAAATTTCCAGAGCTGGATCTAAAAAATGAGGACCAGACCCTGGACCAGGGTAACCTCATTGAAACAAGACTTGGAGAAAGAAACACATTTCCTTCCTGACAGCAACAGATGAGGTGTCTGTCTATTTTCTTATGAGCATTATTGATAAATAATAAAATCACCTGACACAAAAATAGTCTGAATAATATATTAAAAAATTCCTCACACATGACTAGGGCTTATTTGATTTTAGGCTGATATTAAAAATTTCTGTGCTTGAAATTTATTTTTTAAACACATAAGGTATAGAATAATATTTGGCTGTGAAAAATGTATTTTAGTCCACCCACTTATAAAATAGTAATTTCCATTCCTAATTTTTCTTTATTTCCCTGAAGGTAAAAACATAAAGGTAAAAAGAAACACAATAAAAACTATAACTTTTTGATAGCCACTGAACTACGAAAGAAAAGGTCTAATTAGGTACATTAATATTCTTTCAGCACAGTAGCGTATTTGCTTCAGTCTTGGTTTCTTTTAGAGAAATGGAGTAGACTTGTTCATTTTTATATCCCTGGAAGTTAATACACATTTGTTAAATGACACATACATATAAACAAATGATCAGGCACTTAAGTATTGATGTTTTTATATAGACCTGTTTTTTTAAAAAAATATAGTCTACTATAATTAAGGCAAATTCAGCTCATTCCTCCCAAAGGAAATAAAGTTCTACAATTCAGAAGAGGTTTATCTCTAATGAGCTGTATTAAAACAGAATTTTTAAAAATTGATAGGAACAACCAAAGGATTTGCAAAGTGTTTAAACACTTGAATTTTGGATACACTTCTTTTATTGTTTTTTAAAATTTTATTTAATACCTGTGTGGCTTACCTAATATTTGTTAAAAACAAACACATGGAAACCACACAGATTAAGTTTGCAGAGGGCTGGAGGGAGTGAAGGGGGTAGCTCCATATTGAAATATATTCCAGTTACAAATGTAGCTTTCAGGCATAGTGATATACATTAATTTATATAATATATGTATAATTTTAGAATTAAAAAAAATGGCAGATTGTTATCTGGTTAATGAATGATCAGGCAACCCTAAAATTTTAAAGTAAATGTTTAAGAAGGAAATAATCTCTTTATATATAAACAAAGCATCAGAACTTGATAGAACCTGTATTTTAAAAAGCAAATCTCAAAGTTTGATGAACTGGCAGGTTCTTTTCTAAAGTAGTGGACGTGAGTAAAGCGGACTCCCTAAAATGATCACCTGTTGTTGATCATTTGGCTCAGCTGAGCTGTAGGGCTGGTTGCTTGTAAGTAACAAGGGAGAACTGCAAACTATGCATCTTATCGCTTGCATAGTTGTAAGCCCAGACTTTGCAAAGTTGTCTTATGGGTTAAGGGTTGATAAGGTAAGTGATTTCACTGGATATAGGAACTATTGGGGAGCAGGAAGAAGAACTGAGTGTCAGATTTGTGTACTTACAGACTATTCAAAAATCTGTTAAATGTGGATAATGATAGTTCATACTCTGAATTGCCTCCTGTGTTCCGGTCACTGTGGGAAAATGCGTAGTGCAGCAGATTGGTAACTCTGAGCTTGTGAAGATTTTATTGTGGAAATGTGCTTCAGCAGGAAGAACAGAAATAAATCAAAAGTAGATATTAAACATAAAAATCCCCAAACATAAAAATTTAAAGTAATGTTGATCATTGCATCCTGTTCCCATTTTGCTACCCTACCACCTAACACCTCAGTCCCCTTTCTGTGCTCTTTCCCTCCCCACCGTGAAGGCTTCTCCTCCAGGTTACAGAAAGTCTACTATTTACACATATTTATCGAGTACCTTCTAGGTGCCTGATACTATCTTTCATGCTTGCTTAATGAAAGACAAGTATAAGATACAGATTTAGTATCCATTTCTCTTCATATTCCATTGCAATAAATATACTCTCATAGAGTCAGTATGTATTGTGGCTGTGCTGATAAGAATTAAATGCACAATTTATGAAATAACCAACATATGTTAATTTTTCTGAAACATAATATCACTCCATAATATATTATCCTATAATTTCCTTAAACTAGAAAAATTATTCCATATGTTTTATCAAAATCCATAATACAGAAATTTCTTACTTATTTTTTGAGTGTCATCTTTCCCAAACAAATCTCTACCACATGGATATTTCTCTACCAATGAAACAAATCTAGACAAATCCTAAACACCTTTACATAATTTGTCCATCAAATGTGCATCTGTTTTTGTTTTTTTTTTTTTTGTCCCTAGAACCAATATGAATGATGAGCATCTATGTTTAGCATTAAGAGAGGTAATTTACTTCCTTTCTTGTTACTTCATAGTGTCACTAACAGAGTGACTGTTAACCAAAGACTAGGTGCTACAACATGCGTAAGAGGAATTTATAGTAACGTGAAATAAGGCAGCTTGGTTTGCACCCACATTTGGACTCAAGGATCTCCGAAAGGGAAGCACCTGAAGATTGGGACATGGGTCCTGATTTCTGGAAGTTTCCGTGGGAGCTGCAGAGCCCTCACCTCTGTTCCTGACTGAATTGTAGCAGAGCCCTCAGAAAAGGAGATGCTATTCTCTGATGGGCTCAACCCAGTTGGCAGCTCCGGAGGGCTCACTGGAGAGTCTGGGTCATGACCGCTCATGCATGCCCTCCTCCGCTGGGAAGGAGAGACAAAGCAATTGTCTTTTTCTATTTCTGTTCTCATCCC